GCCAGGCAAATATCAACTTCTCAGTACAGATCAGGTACCCAACTACACACAGAGAAAAAATATTTGATTTGAAATAAATCTTAATAAACCTAGACACTTAAACTGTCTTCATAATTAAAGCTTATACATTTCATTAATTTCTGATTTATGAAGACAGCTTGTTTCACAAGTGTCTAGGTTTATTTAGAATTATTTGAATCAACTTGTTAACTTTAATGCTTGAACAATTTAAATTTTGTGAATCTTAATATGCATATTAAATTATTAATATTATTTGTATTTATACAATTTAGTTTGATGGAAACATTTCTTATAATGGACACACCATTTACATTTATTGCATTTTACAGACACTCATATCTAGAGCAACTTTCATTTTCAACATGGGATTAAGGGTCTTGCTCAGGGAGCCAATGCTAGTATAGGTGAGACTCAAACCCACAACCTCTTGGTTCAGAGGCAAGCATCCTAACCACCAACCCACCCTCTTTTTTATTCACCTACCACTGGGAAAGTATTTTGTTGGAAGTAGTCCCATTCCCAGTTGCATAAAAAGTAAATACTTTACCAGTATTGAGATGCATCAAAAATCATTGTGCAGTTCAATTGTTGACAGACCAATTGAATTAAAACAACAAACCACCCTTCCTTAAAGATTCCATTAAAATCATTTTATTGGTCCTATTACAATTTATTTGATGCAGTGAGCAACTACGGAAAAACAATGTTAACTGCCTATTGGCCCTAGAAATGCAGCTAGTAGTTCATTTTAATGTTGCATACGTGTTTAATAATGCATTTAAATAATGTAATGTGCTCTGTCTCTGTCCAAATCGCACACTCATTACATCTAGAAAACATTTCTTTTTCCATAAGCACAAGTGCACATTTGCCATACCTTTGCCAGAAGTGGGCCAGAGCCGCAAGCCATATAATTATTTTTTAATAAAGTATTTAACATGTGGCCCATATCTGTTTTGTGACATTCGGGCCACATTTGTCTAATCACAATTGGGCCACTTTTGGCATACATCCATTTTCCAGTGCTGGAACCGAGCCAGCAGTGCCACACATTTGCCATAAGTGACGCACATCCACATGCTATATGGGGTGTTACTTTGCATAAATTGATGCTTCTGAGTTGCAACCTGTTGTTTCTACTTGTTTCTGTTCCACGTAAAAGATATATGTATGAGCTGTCTGTCGTCAGCATATACAGTAAGGTCTGCAACTACAGATGGTTTCTTGTTGTTAAGCATTCAGAATTTTCCTGTGGGTTTATTAATGACATAATCAGCAATTAGTCAACGCCAATGCAAGTTTCTTGAAATAACTGTAAACTTCATGCAACCCCTATGGAAAAATTGGAAAAGATCCATATTATACTTTTGGAGTTACAGCGCTAGACAAAAATCTGAAGAATAACAGGACAGAGGAGACACAACAGGGTGCGCTATAACCCACAATAAGGTTTCGGGATCACAAACAGATCATTTCTGTTGGACAGTCAGCAGTAAGCTTGGCATTCTAAGTAACTCCATATCAGAAGGAAGCCAGTGTCTTTTAGTAACTGCAATCCAAAGTTAGAACAGTTAGGGGTTCACTATAAAACAAGTATAATTGTTCCACCCTTGCCCAAGCTCTCAACCATTGATCATAATATAACATATCATAAATACAACAATATCAATTGCCTCAGTGTAATTTAATAAGTCTAACCCTAAGTGCATATCAGCACTTTGCTAGCGTGTTTGCCTGTGCAGAACAACAACATGAGCCATGAAAAGTACAGGTATGTAAAGGCCAGATGGCAGCATGTTTCATGGCTGCAGACAGTGGTAGTTCTGAGGTTGAAACGGTCTAGAACCGTCACTACACAGAGACTTGTGTTCATTTCGGGCATTCTCTCATGAATAGTACCTGTCCTTCCCTGCCACTGAGCTCCGGTTTTTCTCTGCAGAGGGAGGATTAAGTAACCAGCCCAGGCCATAGTGAATAAGTAGGAGTTTTACTGTGTGTGTGTGTGTGTGTGTGTGTGTGTGTGTGTGTGTGTGGATAAGATATGCATTACATTGTTGGGAACAAATGGTGATCTGTTGGGTGGGCACCGCCCACCCTCTGCCCACTGGTAGCCACACTCTGAATGAATATAAACACTATTGTTGCCAATAGTGCTTTAACATGCTTGTGCATTGTGTACATTTAACTGAACACCTGTCTGTGCATTTGTGTAAGTGGAAAGCACGAGAGGCTGGGAGGGTAAAAGTGCAACCGTGTGTGTGATGGCTGTTGTGGGAGGGGCATTAAATGAGGACACCCACAGAGCAGTCATTTGAACATATGACCTTTAAATCACTTAGTGTCAATCTTCTATAGTGCTTTAATTACTTCTAACAACACTCCCAAGATCCATTGTAATGACAGGTTTGTCAGCAGAAATTCTGGGATTTCCAGTTGCACCACGTTGCTGTTCTGGGACTATGATGCTCCAGGTATGGAGTGAACACCTTTTGGATGCACTGAGATAATGTTCCTTTTCGGTGTGTGTAGAGATGCTGGTAAGCCTTCCATGAGAAGACCCTGCTGCCTCATCAGTATGCTAGTGACCAGCAAAGCCCCTGGCTAATGTACTGTGTAAGTACATCAGTCAGAGGAGCTACTGTCTGCGCTGCTGAATTTGCCATTAAAATGTTCAGAGATGAATGCAGTTATAGTTTGACTGAGCAAATATCAGCATCTCAGAAGTTCCCGTTATGCACATGGACAGCCGTCCTGTCCAGGGCATCCTCCAGGGACAAGTCTAGGGTTCGTATAAAATGTGTATGAAAATATAGGACAGAATCGCTAAATGGATTTTGAAAAATACTGTAAGTATTAAAGATGCAGAACAATCTACTGGCACCAGTGCCCAGACACTCTCACAGAGCCAGTCCACCCTAAGGGCGATATAGGCGATAGCCCAGGGCACCATTTGATTAGAGGGTGCAAAACAGTGAACGAAAAAAAGCAGAACTAATACGTACCTGTACCGGTTCTGTGATACTACAGTTATTTACAATAGTTTTACTGTTTCATTATCATTCGAGTGAAACCGACACACGCTAGCCAGTTAGCAACCAGATACCTTCTGCTACTGAAATGTTTTAATATCTTATAAATAAATTGCTGTCCGGGGGGCGGGTATAGCGAACAGCAGAATTTCACCTAGGGCACCAGAGCACCCACAGCCGGCCCTGCCGATTCGACAAGCTGCACTGCGGTACCCTGCATGCCGATTATCGGATTATTGAGGTCACATTGTTGTTTTTGTTTTTAATTTAATGCTCTCTTGTTTCTCTTTCAGCTCAGAAAATAGCTCAAGCGGCGCACTTCTGAGAACACCTACAAGGTAGCGGTTCCAAGTTATTTAAGTTTATTTGAGAGCCTTGGGCTAGTTAAATCGGCAACACCTGAGTGTCCATACTGATGTCAGCCTGGTGCCCCCGTATTCGTTTTTTAATTTTATTTATTTATCCTTTATTTTACCAGGAAGGTTCCATTGCGATATATCTCTTCTTCCAGTAAGTCCTGGCCAAGATGGTAGCAAATAAGAAAAATAAGACAAAAGTTTAATATACATATACAGAGATTATTAATATAAACATAAACTAAAACACATACAAGTACTCAAAATCTCCAAAAATACATAGAATAAAATTTATTTATATGAAACAATGACACTGTTCTTTAAGCTCAGAGTTTAAGAGATTTTTAAACACATTCAGAGAAGCACTAGAAATGCCGTAAGTATTGATGAGGGAGACAATAACTTGTGCAGTAATATACAGAGCCGGTGTTCCGGGCAATTCGGTTTCCCTATGTTTCCCCTGTCGCGCGCTGATTTGTACACGGTTTCGCTGTTGTTTTCATGTCTTTTTACAAAGCTCTTGAGGTAAACAAGCCATATATTTTAAAACATCACATGTTTTTTGTTTTTACAGATAATAAATGAAAGTATTTAATTTGCTGGATAGAGATATTTCTTGATGAAAACGGTATAGTATTGCTTATAAGACTATATATTATGCGTGACGATCTACTGTATTCACATGTAGTAATGTACCTGAGTGATTTTCAGACATCTCACATACATATTTGCCTAAATATTAGGAGAAACATTATTTCCTGACATCCAGGATATTTGGTTCCCCCCTGTTAAAACAGGTATACAGCAACTCTGGGCCTCGGAACTAATAACAATACAGTATTCACATGTAATAATGTACTTGAGTGATTTTCAGACATTTCACATACCTCTTTGCTTTAATATTAGGGGAAACATTATTTCCTGATAGACAGGGGAAACATAGGGAAACCGAATTGCCCGGAACACCCGGTCAGTCCTATAAGCAGTCGTCTCGGGCGCCAACTTCTGGGAGGGCACCGACTTGCCAAGCAAGCAAGTGTTTACCAGTGTTCTGGTAATATATATTAAATATAATTTCCACGGACGCCCATATTAAACAAATGAATACCTAGTCTGTCTTCATTTGAGCAAATGGTACACTTCTTTAAAAGAAAATGTACTAAATATAACAGATTTAAAATGTTAGAACTTTAGCGAGAGTCATCGCCGTGGCCGTTCCTCAGGCGCGCTCCCGAACCCGCGCAGGCGGGGTGCGCGCCGCGGAGCACAGACCGCACTGCCTTCTGGGTAAAATGGGTTTTGGTCAGACGCGCCGTGATAGTGTGAAGAAATCGTTCGGAGTTCAGCTGCTCGACTCGCCTTTACGCCAAGGCGCGCCAAGGAAGCTCGAAGTTCGCCCAAGTCCCATGAGCAGCCCTGATATTCCCCTCCCCGCCGGACAAGAGCCGCGGATCCAAGCCGGTCGCTCGGCATGAGCCTCAACGAGCACTCCCTGCAGGCACTGTCCTGGAGGAAGCTCTACCTCAGCCGGGCCAAGCTCAAGGCGTCAAGCCGCACGTCGGCGTTGCTTTCCGGCTTCGCCATGGTGAGCAAAGTGTCGCGAAGCGATTTTCAGTTACTTAAAAGTGCGGGATTCATATACCGCGGAGAAGAGTGGGTAAACTTTGGTAATGTCGCCTTTATTGTGTAGCGGGAGTGTCCCGAAATGCAGTGCTTTCCTGGAGAATAACATGCTACACCGTCCCTCTGGAAAAATAACTCACTATATCGTTCCTTTGGACGAATAACTCGCTATAACGTCTCTCTAGTAGAATACCGCCGTTTACTTCCCCCTTGGCGGCTCTGCCTCGCTCAACACCCGACCCTGTTCCCTGCGCCCCTTCGGTAGCTTTAAGGACGGCTTGCCTCGGCACATTCCCACACACACAGACCCTTTGGGAAATAAAAGTGGATATGATCCTCTGTCGCTCTAGCCTCGGCTGTTTGAGCTCCTGTGACAGTGTTTATTAATATTTACCGCGGTCTTATGAGTGCAGTGCCTGGAATGCACCGACTCAGAAACCCGAGGACTGCCTGCAAAACTCGCAGCTTTTTAAAGACAACTTCACTGGGCTGGTGGGGGCGCGAGCAACCTGACGCTGGCAAAGAGGCCGCGTGCTCGCGATGTGCCGCGCATGCAGATGTTACAGATGTTACAGATGCCGGAAGTGCCACCCCAGGCAAACGTGCCCAGAAATAGTGAGTACAGCTAAATGAAAATACAGTGGTACCTCGGTTCTCGAACTTAATCCGTTCCGGACTCCAGATCGAATCCTAAAAAGTTCGAGTTCTGATCGAATTTTTCCCATAAGAAATAATGGAAAACCAATTAATTGGTTCCCGGCCCCTCAAAATTACACCTAAATGTTTTTTTTAGCATTTAAACACAAAATGAACAGGATAAAACAAGAAGAGCATTTTTTTCTTAATGGCTTCCAAAACGATGAAGATCTTATCCCAACATTACCCCTGTCCTGCCCCTATCGTCCGCTCCTTCCGTGTGCCACGCCCCCTCGTTAACCTCGTGTGGGATCCCCATGTGATCAGCTGTTTCTGGTTATTGTCATTAGTCCTCCGTATTAAGTGCGCGTTTCAGTTTGTTTCCGCAGTCTGGTCATTGGGTGCGTTCGACTTGCTTACAGCGCTGGCTTAAAGCAACGCATTCTGATCCTGACGCAATGCATTGCGGTTAGATGCATTGCGACCTCTCACCCGGCTGCACAAACTGGAACCGCCTCCATGACGACACACCTTTGCCCTACGACTTTCAAGAAATTCGAGTTCTAGTGAGTTCAAGAACCGAGGTACCATTGTATCTGTTAAATCTGTCACTTTATATACCCAAAATGTTGAAAAATGGGACATTAAAGGTCTTAATCTAAGTCTGTCTGTTCTGATTGAAGCTCCATGGTAGGAGGATTTCTCATAATTGAGGTATCCATGCCTTGATCGTAACATTTGGTTTATTATTCACACATCAGTTGTTGGACCTTTTTTAAAAAAAAAAAAAAAAAAAAAACAAACAAAAAAAAACATTGAATGAAAAGTCCGTTGCGTCACTGAAGTGTAAATGCATAGGTATTGATTATGCTAAAGCATATTTCTGCTTGCAGTTTGGTCTTAAATTCGGCTTGAAGTGGTATTGAAAAGGTCTTAGAACATCTTAAGTTTCACATCAGGATTTCTGCAGACACACTGAGCATTTGTAAGGGGAGGAAGTTCCCATGGGGCAGGATGTGCAGGATGAGGGGCGTGGCAGTGGCAGGATGAGCAGCGACCGGGCTCATGGTGTGCTCCCTCGGGCTTTTCTTCAGGTGGCTATGGTGGAGGTCCAGCTGGAGAGCACGGACAGCTACCCAGCCGGGCTGCTCATCGCCTTCAGCGCCTGCACCACTGTGCTGGTGGCTGTGCACCTTTTCGCGCTGATGATCAGCACCTGCATCCTGCCCAACATCGAGGCTGTCAGCAACGTGCACAACCTCAACTCGGTGAAGGAGTCACCACATGAGCGCATGCACCGCTACATCGAGCTGGCCTGGGCCTTCTCCACCGTCATCGGCACGCTGCTGTTCCTGGCCGAGGTCGTGCTGCTCTGTTGGGTCAAGTTCCTGCCCATCAAGCCTCCGTCGGGTGAGGCCAATGGCACCGTCAGCTCTGGGAAGGCAGCTGCGATCGCCTCCACCATCATCATGGTGCCCTTTGCCCTGATCTTCATCGTCTTCGCCGTGCATTTCTACCGCTCACTCGTCAGCCACAAGACGGACCGGCAGTTCCAGGAGCTGGAGGAGCTGTCTAACATCACACGACTACAGAACGAGCTGGACCACAGAGGGGAGGCGGCCAGTGTCTCGCACTTCCCATAGCAGCTTGCAGGGGGGAGCCAGCTCTGAAGACACCTGCAGCCGTGAATGTTTGCGCTGCACAAATACGTATCAGCTGTGTTCTGCTCTTATTCTGTATACTAACCCTTATTTCCATTTGGTTTCTGTTTGGTTTCTGTTGCGTCTGCAAAATAGCCAGCCCATAAAGAATGCTCCCCCTGATTTATTTATGGTGAAATGCCATGATTTCTGATGTGGTGTTTGGTTTTCACAAAGCAGTAATTTTATTCCAGTGGCCAACATATATCTCTGTGTGTTACAGCTTTTAATTTCTTTTTCTTTTTATTATTAGTTGTTGAAGCAGGTGTTGCGCACAAAGGCATGCCTTGTTAAGATGTCATGTGGTCATTACAGTTTTCTGCCACTACTGGGCCATATATGATCACAGATATTGCATTAGGTTATGCATTGAATGATAGTGACCACTGGTGGCACATTTCAATACGCAGGGGATAATTGTGTTTTCTTGACTGTTTTTCTTTCCTCCATCACTGATAGATGAGGGTCAGAGAAAAAATCCTGGGGATCATGGAAAAATGCTTTCTAGATGTCCGTCAGGCGTCTAAACAGCCTTGGCTCGTCCACACACACACATCTGTAGCAGTCAGGTGTTCCAATCGCTACGTCTGTTATGATCGTTATTGATATTCATGTCACTCCTTGTATGTGTTCATTAGTCCTGTCACTGGCACTGACGGTGAGACTGTTTTCTACATCTACATAAATCTGGGTTTTTCCCCTGTGTGACTGTCGAACAGAAATGCAGCTCTCTGCCTCTTCTTTCTCTGGAAGCACTGAGAGCAGCTTTCCAGCATTTTTTAGTGCATTCTGCGATCGGTGCAGCTAACTGCCCCGCCTACCTACTGTTTTTATTTTTATTACCACTGTTGTGAGTAGACGAACTGCAAAGAGCCTTGAAATATGTCAATAGCTTAGCTGCTAACAAATCTTCATTCAAATGTAAATGTGTTTATAAGTAGGGCGGCCTGGCCTGGAAATCTGGGCCAGCTTATACTTTGCTAGTGCTGTGACCCTCTAGTGACATCTGGTGGTAAATTTGTGGCAATCTGCAACATGCCTTTTTAAGTAGGATCAGGGTTGTGTCGGATCTGCGATATTTACAGATGAAACTAAGATCTGAGCCAAAACTGATGATATTGCTTGTTTTGCCATGAAATATGATCAGCATCTCCAAATGCGAGTTTTGCCAAAATATCAATGCCGAATGATTTCAGAGTAAATTTATAATGTTTATGATGTGCTCATTTTTATTGTCACTGCTTAGGCTACTGAAAGTGATTAACATGCAAATCTGAAAGACTTGTGCACTATTTTAAAAATAGAAACATGCCCTTTGTAATCGCTCTGGTTAATGATTGTCTTCACTTGCCATGTTTCGTCATTGCGAAGGTGAGCAGTGCCTCAGTCTGCAAAGCACCAGCATCTGTTTCATTGTCACTCTGTGTTGGGTAACAGATGAAACTGAAACATTGTAAATCAATAATTTACACAAGTAAATTATAGCAAAAGTGTGTTCAGACTTAAACAGGTGAATATATCGATAAGTGTAAATAAATCTTAAATACACTTCATTGTTTGGCTTTTATTTTAGAAAACTCCAGAACAGTCCAAGTTAAGCAAATTCTACGTCAGCAGACATAGCCTGATGATGAACATGATCTTGTGATTTGGCAATGAGTAAAAACTCTCATTGGCTACAGAATTTGGCATGATATCAGAAGGGTCCTAAATGGTGTCACCCTGTCCTATTGTCTCCTGAAGGGTTGGTTCTCTTCTACTCCAAACAGATTGCTGCCTGTCTCCAGCAAAACTGAGTGTGCGTCCATCAGGTGCACCTTGAACACACAAACCTTAGTTTAGCATAGTTACAGAAAATGACCACGTGACTCTTTAGACCAGGGGTCTCAAACTCAAGTCCTGGGGGGCCGGAGCCCTGAGTAGCTTAGTTCTTTCCCACTTCCACCACAAATGATACCAAAAACTGTGTAGGGCACCGGCCCTCTCAGACTGGAATTTGAGACCCTTGCGTAAGACTTTGTATTGATTTCTATATAAAATTACAGGTGCCACATTTAGTCTATTGTGTAGAACAGGTTTTCTGTTCTTGTGCAGTATATAATTTACATCTCAAGACCAGAGAATTCCCCCTGAGTTACAGCACAGTGTTGCACCTCTTCCCTTTTACTGATGTCACTTCCTGCATGTATTTAGTGTGTTTTTGTCCCCTCTTGTCCTTTGCCTATCAAATCAAATCAAAAAACTTTATTTGTCCCTGAGGGGCAATTATATCTCCTCCCCTACAGCCCCAGTAATCAGACTTCATACTTGCTGATGACTTGTGTTCTCTGTTTGTTTTGTTGTTTGTGAGGCACTTAACTCTACTGACGTGTGAAAATGTTGCAATTGCCTATGGCTGGTTGAGCCTTAGGCATGTCGTTAAAGCGCTGCAGACCTGTAGCCCAACATAACGGCCGCGCTTTGATCCCTCCCTCACCTCTGGGATGGGGTATGGAGGGGCAGCGGGGGCCTCCTCTCTCCCAAAGTCCGTCACTGTTCCACATTTGGCAATGCCGTGCTCCCAGAGGCCTTCGTAGAGTTGACCTTTGTCCAGGAAGAAGAACTTGCCTGCACCATGCTTCTCACCCTGCTCCCAGGTGCCCTCGTACCTGTTCTGATTGGCTGCGGGAGTTTTCATGCTATAATGTGAGGGCAGCTTTTAGTATTGCCCAGCTCTCATTTCTGTGGTACCTTTTAAAATCGTGAGCTTCCACAAGAAAATCTTACACTGAACCCATTTTGTAATTCCAATGATATCAGTACTATATGCCATAATATACACTCCATGATGGAGGGTGAGAGAGCAGACCCCAGCCTTATCATGCCCCCACCCACAGTTAGCATCTCCTAGAGGGGGTCTTTCAGTTCAGTCGCTGCTATGGACGTGGGGGGCCTTACCAAGGCACAGCAAGCCCTGCCCATGCGGCTTATCGCTCAGCCACTCGCCGTCGTACACGTCTCCGTTCTCGTAATACATCCTGCCCCAGCCGCTCCTCTCATTCCCAGCCCACTCGCCCTCGTAGTGGGCAGAGCCGCTGTAGAAGCAGGACCCGTATCCCTGAGAAGTAACCATGCGCATCTAGTAAACCGTATAATGTTACATACAAAGCAAACTTTAACACTGGGGTTGTAAATGTAGTAAGAACAAAATTTTAAAAGTCCAGGCCAGATCTGCCTTTTGTAGTGGCCCTAGTCCCCCCCACCCCAACCCCCCGGGCACACTGCTGATCATTTCACTTCCTCCACAACACAAGCAGTTCTCGGGCCCTGAATAGTCAGCCCTATTCTGCTTTTTACTGCAGCCAGTCCTGCCTTTACCCCTGTCTCAAGCTGCTCTGATGTTATAATCACTTACATTCCTTTTGTCATTTTTCCATTCGCCTGAATAAAGCTTCGCATACTCTTTAGACACTGGGTTCAACTTGCTTAGCGTCCCCAAACCGTGGCGCTGTCCGTATTTCCACTCTCCATCATAAAGGACTCCGGTCTTCTTCCAGATGTTGGTGCCTTTTCCTGGTTGGAAAAATAAACTGCCCTGATATAGTGCCAATTAAGTGGCACACTGTATTAATCATCATTAATATTTTAAAAGCTAACTAAAACACACGTACACGCAAAATCATGCAAATGGAGGTTTTCTGTATAGTTGCAAAGACAAGTTCACTTGTGAAAGTCATTTTTGAAAAACAAAAATTCCAACTGCCAGACCAACATAAACCCAATTCCAAATTCAGGACTGGCAGAAAAGCCAGCATTAAAATGTTCCTGTTGCTTTTGTGGTCACAGGTAATGTATATTTCTGCATCTAAACAGTGTATCTTTCTATAGCCCGACTACAGAGTGATCAGCGACATTTACCGTGTTTCTTGTTATTTAGCCACTCGCCAGTGTACTCTTCCCCGTTGACGGAGTAGACTGTGTGCCGCAGCCCGCATTTCTGCGCCTTCTTGTCCCAAAGTTTGCTCAGCTGTTCCTTTCTAGCTTTTTTCAGGAACGGCATGCTTGGCCTCAAGATAAATGCACATCACCCAAGCTATAAATGCAAAATAAAGGGTGGCGCACTGGCTATTAATTAAACAGCGGCTAGTTATATCATTCAACGAGCTTATCTATGTCGTGTGGTGCACACAGACCTCGGAACTAAGACTTAATGCATGACGTTTACATTAGCAAAAACCGTGAAGTTTAAGAGAAGCAGTAACCAAACTCCGGTTTCCCTGGCACGACATCGCGTCGTCTGTAACCATGACAGCGCGACGCCTTTTCCGCACATTACCACGTGCTTCAGAAACTTACGGTTCATGTACACAATGCGATGATGCAAATGATATTTCACTATGTAAGTAGCATCCCTGTCTGCATATATTAGAGTCATGGTATTCACAGTATCAAAAAGCATATCATGTTACAGGATATCCATAAATATATCAACATAATTCAAGCAAGGAACAGTTAATGTGTGTTTTTTCGTTTTAAGTTAATCATGAAATGTATAAAACTGATAAATTGATGGATGGATGGATGGATGTATTTACTACCCAGCAACTGACTAGCCGAGGACTGCACCGAAGCATATTAACTATATGTTAATGGTAATTCCGATGTCCTGAATTTGCTTGGTTGCGTCATTTAAATTTCTTTGGCAAAGATTGTTTTTCATATTAATTACTTACCACTAGCACCAGCCAGTCAGGCCCACAATACAACTATGTTGCAAGAAATACTTTGCTACTTTTAGTAGAACACTTCATAGCTACATTTCTTCGTATTATGAAGCCTCATTCTTACATAATACTGTAAGTAATGCATTAGCTACATTAATAATACATAATTCTGAAGTCCTGCTTTTATGTAGTCAGTTGCAGCTTACTTACATTTTATATGTTTATTTATTGTATCTCACACAATAGGCAACCATTAAAAATGACACCAATACGTCTACTTCAAATATGACACGCTCAAATTAATCTTAAAAGCAATTGCAGACACATTCGGAAAACAACCTCAAACTTATATGTTATGAATTTCACTAAGACACAGTATTTAATATACAGCCAGGTGTGATGTGAATTGGTAAAACGTCTGAAATTAGTGACCCGGCCACAAAACACATGGTAGGAAAAATACAGTTTTTCGTAGCCTGATACCATATTGCTAATAAATGAATCCAAGGTGAATATCCAAAGCAAAATTAATCAAAAAGTAAACATAAACAACGATACAGAAAATTGAATTTACTTTATATTGAAATTGCCAAACCATTAAAATTTAAAGTTGCAGAAAGGATCTCTTAAGTATTTCGAAACTTTGTGGCATGCAAAGGATTTTCTTTTCTGTTGCATACAACATGTACAACTACGCCTGCCTGACTGTGCATATCTCTATTTGCTCTTTCTTTTACTCCGCGACACGCGATCAGAAGACCCTGTGCGGTCCCCTATTGGCGTTTCCACATCTCAAAACACACGTGAACTCCGATTGGCTCTTGTTTTGTCATTGGGCGGTACTTTCATGCCTGCGCCACCGTTACCCGAGAGCCAGCGTCGCGAGCAGCGGCGGAGCTAGTGCAGGTTTAAGGGGGTCATTGAGCAGACAGGAGCAGTTTTGGGGGCTGGATCCCCGAAAGAACCTCCGTGCATGGGAGGGGAAGCGAGGGACAGAGTCGGGGAGAAAGAAGATCGAGCGAAAGGACGGCAAATGAGCAGGAGAGGAAGCAAAGAGAGCCTGTTATAAAAATGTCACTGCAGAAGTGCCTAGAGGAGTGGGAGGAGATTGACAGGGAATTTCAGCAGCTGCAGGTATGGATATGAACCGGGCATGATGCTGGGAGGCGGCCGGCCTTCGAGAGACCCCGACGGATGCCCCGGTGGGGGTCGGAGCCCGGAGGAGCTCCCGTAGCCAGCCGCACGCTATGCCGCCCTTTGTTTGCTTCCACTTGGGGGCCCCTGAGCTGACAAACCGGCGTGAGCAGTGCGACCGGCAGTGGCAATGACAGTCAGCTGCCCTGAATATTTTCCGTACTCTAACACGACAAATGGATACATGCTGGATTGGTATAATTAATGATTGATCATGGTTCACCTCGGCATGTTTACTCGGACGAACTGTGGTGTGCCATGGCAGTGTCAACAACTGCTTATAGTCATAATAGTATACCTTGTGTATAATTTGACAAATGTTTGCTAAAAACTTCCTAGTAGTGTGTTTATTCTGTCCAGACCCGGTCCACAGCCAATTTCTATTATATAAAACGTATATCTTAATGGAGAATTTAGCCAATATTTTTGTTTCCCGATGAAGGAAAGCCACAGTTATTATTTTTTTATTTTGTTTGAACTGCATTTGCGACTGTAAATATTTACTTTTACATTTTATGCACTGTGGTTTAATTAGGAGTTGATAAGTAATATATAATTTTGGTGAGGGAGATGTGTATATGTGTGTGGGGGTGCACAGGCAGAGGTCCTGAGTGAAAGCTGCAGCTACATTCCACATCTATCTCAGGAGGTTCCAGAATATGGCAGTTCTACAGGGAACACTGTCATGGGCGGGTGGCCCATTCCCGGGACCCAGCAAAGGCATAATCAGATTATATTATGATATTTAAATGCACATGTTTTTCAGTGGTTCACAGGACAGTTGTTATTCGTAACTTTGCAGACAGTGCCTCAGGAGTCGCTACATACATTTACGTGTTTTTCTTGCATCTCGTAGGAAGCTCATAAAGTTTACCGGCAGAAACTTGGCCAGCTGAGCAGCCTGCAGAGCGCATGCAGCACCTCCATCCGCAGGCAGAAGCGGAGCCTGTCTGAGCTGCGCTCCAGCCTGCACCGGTATGTCGTCCTGCCTCGCTCCGTTCAGCTGCACGACCGCGCAGGCTGCTCTCTTGCTGCCCCCTGCTGACCGTTCGCGGCATGGCTGCTGCCACTGTGACCGTGATATGATTTCCCAGGTGTGCGAAATCCAGCAGCCCCAAGGAACGGGAGGAGATACGCGAGATACAGGCGCAGATCAGGGACAGGCAGAATGTCTTCTTCGATATGGAAGCATATTTGCCAAAGAAAAATGGGTGAGTTCATCAGTGGGCAGTCATCCAAAGTGGGTAAAGAGTGATTATAGCCAAGCTAAGCGTCACACTTATAATGTAATTTGTGCATTTAATGCAGGTAGAATTCAAATACTGGAGAATGTTTTTCAATGTTTCATGGCATCTCTTTCAGGCTGTACTTAAATCTGGTTCTTGGGAATGTAAACGTGACTCTGCTCAGCAACCAAGCGAAGTAAGTCTGCTTCCACTCCGGCCGGATGGACGGCCGGGGAGTGAGATGGCACACGTCATCCGGACAGACTGCTGGGGAGTGAGACGGCACACGATCATCCGACCATCCGACTTTGCTCTGATGCTCTTTGTTCCCCATGAACAGATTTGCCTACAAAGATGAATATGAGAAGTTCAAATTATACCTGACTATCATTCTGATGCTGGGGGCCATAACCTGCCGTTTTATAGTTATTTATCGGTAAGAAGTAGTTTTTGTTACTGTTGCTGTTTTAGTTTAACTTCAAAGATGGCTTGTATCCTATTCATTTAGTCATGCTCTATAAATCAAATGTTTTTCTCATTCATGATATAGTCAGTGTCCTGAGTCAGTGTCAGGTGTGTGTGTTTCTGTTCAGGGTCACAGATGAAATCTTTAACTTCCTGCTGGTGTGGTATTACTGCACGCTAACCATACGCGAAAGCATCCTCATAAGTAACGGCTCCAGGTAAGACTGCCGCAAGAACTGCCCCCTCAGATTGGGAGCAATGCATGGACTTTGGTTTTCTGTTTTTTAAGAGTAACAAACTGTGCTAGTCACGTTTGCCTTTTCAGAACATGATCAATAGCAAATGTGAATAAAGTAAACTGTGTGTTGTCTTTTTTTAAGGATTAAAGGCTGGCGGGTATCACACCACTACGTCTCCACGTTCCTCTCTGGCGTGATGCTGACCTGGTGAGTTATTCCTCTGGTCACAGGAGCGGAGTCTCACGCCGGCTTGCTGCGTCTGTCCTGAAGAACGTCATCCCCGCGTAGTGTGTTTCTCATGTTTGATTTCCCTCTCTGAAAAGGCCAGATGGGATGATGTATCAGATGTTCCGGAATCAGTTCCTGGGATTCTCCATCTACCAGAGTAGGTGTCTGGCTGGGCTGAGAGGCGCACTGTGCCCTGGCTTCCTGTAGGTGTCACAGTCATTGAGGTGCCATCAAGGTCCTTCACAGGTCTGGCTATAGCATCCAGTCTGAGAAAAGGGTGATTTAATTTATCTAGTAAACCTGATTCCATGTGGGGTCTCCATTCTGCCCCCATGTCCGTCGAGGGTGTGTGACTGTCTGTCCTGCTACAGCTGCATAGCGGACGGCGTTTGCAATATCCGGCCTTCTTGGCCAACATCTTACACAACACTGAGTTGCTAAACGCTGCATGAGGGCATCCAATGTCCTGCAGGGCAGGAGGTGTCTGGAGATTAATCTCTGATAATACTGAGCTTGTATTGACTGGAGGTTTGATTCGGAGAACGGAGTGCCGATGTCTGAGTTTTAGTACTTGCATCAAGGTGCTGCTTGTAACCTGGGCATCGGGGATTGGGTGTCTGGAACATTCTGCTTGTTGGTATTGCAGGTTTTGTACAGTTCCTGCAGTATTACTACCAGCGCGGCTGCTTGTATAGGCTCCGGACCCTTGGCGAGAGGGACCAGCTGGATCTGACTGTGGGTGAGACATTGAGGCCCAAACCATGTCTGGTGCAGAACTGTACATGAAGTTCCCGCCCTGCAGGTTTTAAACTCTTGAACCGTAATCGAAACTGGTATTTTCAATTACAAAATATAGACTGTTAAAATGTATCTTTAGTAGGTATTAGTAAATAGTTTGATTCAGTGTGATTTCCTTGTAATTAATGCTGAGTTTTGCTCTTTATTTAACTGAATTGCTCTCAAAGAAATTTCCCTGCAATACCATTTTGAGTTATATGGGACGACACTATGGCTGCAGATTTAAAACTGCAGTCTTGTAGTTAATCTCCCTGAGCAGTAGGGGGCCCTGTGGGCTACATTTTATTGGTGCATTTGTTGCCTGTTCTCCAGAAGGATTTCAGTCCTGGATGTGGGGAGGGCTCACCTTCCTCCTGCCCTTTCTCTTCTTCTGTCATGTAAGTGTGACTGTGTGGGGGGGGGGGGGCATCACCCTGATCTGGTGATGAGGTTGAGGCATAGGGGTGGCATGCATTGCAGGCCCAGGGGACTGGCTATTTCAGGAGGGTTTGGGGGTCCCCCGTCTCTCTGCTCCATCTGCAGTTCATCTCAAAGCATCTCCCAAAGCCTTCAGCTCTGCAAGGTCAGGCAGCATCTGCATGCCTGCACTGCTGTCTCTCTCAGCCTGCCCGCCTACTGAAGCCGCCGTTCTGCTCCCACATTAAAGCTGAACGTCGTCCTCCTCTTTCCCATCTAGTTCTGGCAGCTGTACAATGCAGTGACCTTATTTGGCTCGTCCAGGCATGAAGACTGCAGAGAGTGGCAGGTGACTCAGTACACACCTTTCTGCTTCCTCTTTTTCACCTGGATTCTTCAGGGCCTGATTTTGCTCTATGCTGAGATAAGTCTTGATCCTGAACCTGGATCAAATGGGACTGTTCATAACTGCTCCCAGCCGGTCCAAGTTCTCAATCACAAAATGTTAATTGTTAACTTCAGCATGTTGAACCCTTTTGGCTGTTGGTCTGAATTATTTTTTGTTTTAGCTGAACATGGCTGAAGCTGAATGCAGATAAAGGCCAGTTCTGGGGGTGTCACTAAACTAACTGGGGCTCTTGTGATGCATCACCTTTCAGGTTGTCACGCTGGCCCTCACTTTTCTCGTCCTCTTCCTGGGGAACTTCCTCACCACTCTGAAAGTGGTCCACCAGAAGTTTCAGAAGAGCACAGAAAAGATCCAGAAGAAGGAGTCATAAGCATCGCCACATAAGAGCAGGCAGTAACTCTGGGAGCAGAGTCTTTAGAGAGAGGACATCATGGCGTTGGGGGTGCGGGGAGGGGGGGTGGGCAGCTCCCGTCCTCAGATTAGCGGAGGAGCGCTGCCTCACTGGAGTCGCCTGTCGCTTGCCCTGGCTGTCAGACAGAGGCTGAGCTACTGGAAGCCCGTGATCCATGTGCTTCTGAAGAGGTCTGTCTAGCCTTGCAGTTTTGCTTTCATGTGCGTAGAGGGACTCCATTGGCACGTTATGCAATACAAGTGGACAGATAGAGAAATTCAGTCATTTATTTAGAAATATACCTCAGAGCATAACTGCAGGCATCCTGCTGTTTCCCACTGCCTGATGTGCTTGTCTGCAGTAAATCCCTTTCTCTCTGTCATCTTAACTTGGACATGGTCACCAAGTGGCCCAGCCAACAACATCAGTGGGGATGGTGACAGTGAGCTTTCAAAGGGCGTCGTTTCAGAGTAGGCAAGAACATAAGGCACATCCGTGTCATCCTGTCTGCAGTGTGTCTTGTGCA